ATGGTGAGTGATGATGATGGAAAGAATGACACCACATTTATTTTATTTTGGTAAAATATACACAACTCTCCTGTTCTGAGAATTTTAATTGTACAATTCAGTAGCATAAACTACATTCCCAATGTCATGCAGTCATCACCGTCATGTAGTTCCAGAACTCTTTCGTCATCCCCAAAGGAAATCCATACCCATTAAGTAGTCACTCCCTGTTCTTCCCTTGCCCTAGCCCTACTTAAACACTATTTTTTAACTCTATATATGCATATTCCAGATATTTCATATAATGAGGATGATATAGTATTTGTCTTTTCATGTCTGGCTTCCTTCCCTTAGCCTAATGTTTTCCAGGTTCATTCATGTTATAGTATGTATCAGTACTTTGATGGCTAAATAATATTCATTGTATAAATAGGCTACATTGTGTTTCTCATTCACCAGTTGATGGGCATTTGGTCATTGTGGACATTCTAAATATTGTGAATATGTGTGTGGAAATTCATATACAATTTTTTCTTTGAATGCCTTTTTTTTTGTACTGAGGAATTAACCCAGGGTGCTTTACCACTGTCCTGTTCATTCCTCTGTAGGCAGAGCCACGTCCACAAAGTAAGCTGGTAAACTTTCCAGAAAACCCAGCCACTGTTGATCTCTACACCCCACCCTAGCAAAGCATAAGGAGTGTATATTTAGTCCCATTGTTTTAGGTACCAGAGATTAAACCCAGGGGTGCTTAACCTCTGAGCCACATTTACAGCCATTTTTTATATTTTATTTAAAGACAGCATCTCCCAATGTTGCTTTGGGCCTTGCTACGTTGCTGAAGCTGGCTTTGAACTTATGATCCTCCTGCCTCAGTCTCCAGAAGGATTACAGGCATGTGCCACCACACCTGGATATAGTTATATATTTTTTAAAAATATTTTATTAGTTGTTGATGGTCCTTTATTTATTTATATGTGGTGCTGAGACTCGAACACAGTTCCTCACACATGCTAGGCAAGCGCTCTACCACTGAGCCACAGCCCAGACCCTTAGTTATCTCGAAGTCATATTTTTTTTATGGATTATGATAAGTAGTCTGGCCAAATTAGTGACAAGTGGATCCTACTTTCAAGGAAGAGAATCAAAGTGAGTCCTTCTGTGCATATCCATCACTACAGTTGGAAAAAAAACACAAATACTATTTTCTATTAGTTAGTGCAGGGATAAACATGAACCTCCTCAAGTTTGAGGCTGGTCTCTTTGTTGTAGCCTCCAATCACCACCAAGACTGGTGATACACCCTCATACCACTGTGGGTACCTTGAGGACAAGGGCTTACCCAAGACATCTTTATCTCCAGTGCCTGGCACAGTCAGCATTTGTTGAGAAAGAAAAACCGAATGCTAGTCAGTCCCCTGGAAAAAATAGTGTTGGGCACGGTGTCTTTACTATGCCCCTGCAGTGTTTTGAGCCACCTCTCCCCTCATAGCAACCTCCTCTGCATCACCAGTTACTTTAGGTGGCACCATCATGGTCACTTGGTGACAAGCAAGCCAGCTCATAGCACTTTTCATGCAAACAAAATTGGTAAATCACAGAAACCAACATTTGTTGACTCAGATATCCTAATTCTTGTTCAAACAAAATGATCATCTTTCCCCTGGGCAAATCCTCTGGTCTCCTGGCATTTGCCTTTTCCCACTGCAAAATGGGAATCCTATTACTGGTTTCTAGTCACCTCACAGCATTTTGAGAGTTAAAGCCGGATGTATGAACATTTCTGGGCTTGTGGAGTTCTCACCACTGACTGGGCATGATCCCCTTTGGAGCCTGTCACTGCTGTTGACATTGAGAATACCAGTGTGGGAACAAATGCTGTCTTTGTCACAGGCTCAACTGTAGGGGCCTCTCCTTCTCTAGGCTGGCAGCTGAGGCTCAGGACTTGAGATCCCCAGGCCAGCTGTTGTGAAGTAAACGCCAGGCAGTAGGTAAGGCAGGCTTCAGAGCTCGGCAGAAAGCCAGGATTGAGTGGGAGACTGATAGAGGCCGAGTGCAGAAGTTGGCCAACAACTGTTTTCTGAGGAGATTTTAAAACATACAATCTTGCTTCCAAGGTAGACAAAGCTCCAACAGGCGTACTGCCTGAAAATTCCAGTTCTAATTCACCATCATCTAAAGAAGATTCTAGAACTAGAAAGACACAGTGAGCACTTTCCTGAAGAGGCTTCCCTGGGAGCCCAGAAAGATGGCCACATCCTTTGAACTTAAGGGAGCTTACAAAGGGCAGTGTTGTTTCCACTGAGGGAGAATGATAACCCGACATAATGGTGTCCTTATTCTATAGACCACAGACCTTGTGTGGTGAGGGGCAAGTGAGCCTGCAGGCCCTGACAAAGGGGGAGGGGATGTTTGGCAGCAGGCACATGCTTTCAGCCTGCTTGCTGGTCATCATGGAAGGTCATCCCCCAGGAAGTCAATGGTCAAAGTCAGGAATCTGTTTCAACTCTTCCTAGGAGGATTGCTAAACCACAGTGAGATACCTCTTTAATCGATTGATGGCTGATAAAAAGTTTTCAAGTGAACATTTCTTCTGGCCTCCTTGATGGATTCCAGTGAACTATGTCTTGAATTTAGAGATTATAGAGATAATAGACTGATGAAGAAACTGTGATAAGCCGTTGTTTTAAATTGCAGTGAGGATGATGGTATTTTTGAGTGGGCTATTCCTATCACAGAAAAGAAGTCAGTAGGCTAGCAAAAACCGCCAAAGACAGATTATTGGACAGTTATTAGGGAATGGAGCCCCCAAATTGGACTTTAGCATTGCCTTGACCAACTTCAGGATTCCTATGATATTACATCATACATGTTTATGTCAGGGACCTCTTCCAAGAGTCTGACTCATCTCCCAGGCCAAGGAAGCCATGTCAGTATGTGAATTACACCCCGGCTGTCATCCCAGGGAATTTTTGCCAGCTCTGGTGCTGGGGAATAATTCCATTAGGCCTGGAGAAGCTGTGTGGTACAATGGCAACAACCACGAGGAGCCCTGAACTCTGGTCCTAGCTCTGTTAGCAATTAGCTGTCATTCCAAGTGAGTCTTTTAACTAATCTATGTCTTGCTTTCTTCGGTGGCTAAAAAGAAACTGTTTATATTGGGTGCAATGGTGCATGCCTGGAATCCCAGCAACTCAGGAGTCTAAGGCAGGTCTGCAAATTCAAGGCCAGCCTGGCCCATTGAGTGAGATTGTCTCAAAATTTAAAAAAAAAAAAAATTTAAAGGGCTGGGGATGTAACTCAGTGGTAAACACCACTGAGTTTCAATCCCCAGTACCCCAAAAAAGAAGAAAAGGAAATTGTTGAAGTTGGTGATTTTGTCCCTTCCAGATTTAAAACTCAAAAATATATTTCTTAGCTTCATGTTCAACAAAGAATCATTGTGGTTAGGCAAATAATCTAATTTTATAATTTTCTTTAGGTGTAAAAGGGATAATAAATATCATCTCATTCCTTTTTCATACAGATGTAGAAACCAAGACCTAGAAAGGAGAAGGAATTTGCTCAATTAGTGCAGAATCGGGGTTAAAGATCAGGTTTCTTGCCTACTAATCCAGTATGTTTTCCACTACATTTATTTTTAAATCACAGTAATACATGAACATAGTTTAAAATATCAAAAAATACAGAAGAGGTTCTAATTAAAAAAAAAAAAAAGCAATGGTTCTCTGCCCCATCTCTCTACACCTCTAATCCCACTCCTCAGAGGCAACCATTTTTAACAGATTCTCTTTTCAATTCATCTGGTGATGACTTTTATATCTCTAGTATGTTTCTACTGCTATTTCTTGATTTATCCATTTTAGACCATATTTGTTGACTCTATGCTATAAAAACTAAGAACTTCACTTACCTAACATTATTCCCAACCACCTTTTTGTTCCACCGTCCTATGCTTGATACTATTTTTATGAGACTTTTTGATTTACTTTTAAAAATAGCATCCAGTAAAATCTGCGTTTTTGGCATGCAGTTCTATAAGTTTAGGCAAATGCATAAAATCATAACTACCACCACAATCACTATATGGAACAGTTCAGTCACCCCCAAGGAATTCCCTCATGCTGCCCTTTGCAATCAACTCCTCCCTTATGCCCAACCCCTGGAAACCACTGATGTGTTTTATGTTCCCACAATTCTGCCTTTTCCAGAATGTTCTGAAAATGGAATCATATAGTATGCAATCTTTTGAGACTTGAGATTCCCAGGCTATTTGTTGTGAAGTAAACACAAGGCAGTAGGTAAGGCAGGCTTCAGAGCTGGGCAGATTCCCCAGCACCACACACACACACACACAAAAAAAAAAAATCTGGGCAGAAAGCAAGATTGAGTGAGAGACTGATAGAGGGAGCGAGGGCAGAAGTTGGCCAACAACTGTTTTCTGAGGTGCATTCTTTCACCCAGCATAACTTTTGATGTTCATGTATCATTAGTTCATTCTTTTGTGTCCCTGAGTAATATTCCATTGCCGGGATGTACTACAGTTTATCCATTCATAAGTTGAAGTACTTTGGGTTTCCAGTTTGATAGTATTATTGTTAGTTATTCCATGGATTACTTTTAACTTGAAATCATATACTTAATCCTCTGTATCTTACACCATCATCTACTGCATATTAAGTAGGTCTTCCTTTTCAAAACAGTAAATGCTTTTTGACTGATTTCAAAACATGACACTGTTGTTTTTCTAGTTTCAGTTTTAGGTGGATTTGGGGATATGACTTTTCATGGGGGTCAGAAGGCTTGATTAAATGCTATCCAGCAGTCCTATTGAGGGCTGCAGGCATTGTAAATGACTCCTTTGGCATAGGGGACCTTCTCTAGTACCAGACATGCTTGTAGCTGGGAAGAAATACATGTACTTTCTGTTCTGACCGTTGCTAACTCAGGCAGTAATTTTTGGGAAAAAGACCTTTCTTCATGTGGATTTCAGCTTTTGTCTGTCATGCTTTTTCTGTTCCAGCTGCCTTCACCAGCGAGCACAAAGCCACATTTCAAGAGACTGACAAATTATCCCCAGCTGCCAGAAGGAGGTTAGTTTTCTGTGTGTTCTGTGTCCCCTTCTCTGATAACCAACAGGTTAACTTTCTAAAGGGAACTAACAAAAGAAGAAATTGTCCTTTCACCCAAATGGAGTGTTTTTGCTTTTTTTTTCATTGAAAGATGTGCATCTGTAATATTCTTATCCATTCCTGCTCCAATTTACATTAGTGAATACAGTGTAAATGATCATGACCCACCCTCTGTTTTTTGCAAGATTCACATTAACCATTCCCTTTTTAAGAAGTGCTTGTAAGATTGAAATTATTTGTTTAATTAGCTAGTATGCTGTCTTCCCTCAATGAGTAGCCATTTAAAAGCTGAATGATGTCAGCCTGGTCATGGAGATTTATGTATAGTTATATTCCGCTTGCATTTTGAACTGTCTTTGTGTATGTTTTAACTGTCTAGCACTTACATAGCATAGCAGGAGTGAATCTAATGCCTAGAATAGTAATGTACATATACTAGGTGTTCAGTAAGTGTCCTTTTAATTAAAATTATACAAAATAGTATCATGTATACACGATGGAGTATTCCATGTTAATGAAGTGAGTCAGGCCTTCGCAAACACTAATGGGAATGCAAATTGGTAAAACTCTCCCACAGGGCAACTTGGAAAAATATGCCAAAGCCTTAAGAATGTTATTATCCTTTTACCCAGTGATTCTTTCCCTAAGGAATTAACTCTGTTTTAAAAAATACAATTACTATGTGTTAATCAAAAAATTTTTCAATATGTATAATAAGCCAAACTACATTCTATTATCATGTATAACTAAAAAAATAAGAAAGAAAAACATTTTCATATTAAAGGGGAGGAAATGCTAACTACTCTGATCTAATTATTACCCTTTTATGTATTATCAAATTATCACACTATACCCCATTGGTATATATAAAGTTAAAATGATAATTTAAAAAATAAATAATTAAAAATAATAAGAGAGTTCAATCCCCAGTATCAAAAAAACCCAAAACTAATAATAATAATTCTAATAGATGCACTAAGTCTATACTAGAAAATTCACTGCAGCATCATTTAAAGCAGAAAAAAAAAAGTGGAAACATCTTAACTTGTCCATACTATGAAATCCTAGGAAATAACATTTATATTACAAAATTCTACATAGTTATTTAAAATCATGTTTAGAAGAGTATATAATGACATGAGGAAATGCTCAAATTAAGTGGAAGAAGGGAGGATATACAAATGAACGAGAGATATGATCTCAAGCGTGTGTGTATGAAGAAGAAGAAGACTGGAAGGAAATAAATAGAAACAACAATAGTTATCTCCATGGTGTGATCATGAATGATTTTCATTTTCTTATTTTTCTCTTATTTTAAAGTCTAAAAAGTTTATTTTTAATTTGAAAGAAATAAGTACTGCTTTTAATAGATGGAGGACATATATTCATAAAATGTAGCATTGTTTCTCCAACCAAAGTTTAAAAAAACAACAACTCTTCACATGCTGTGTGGACAGTCATACCAGTGTTCAGTTTCCAAAAAGACAAGACCCAAAAGTCTTTTCATCTTTAAGTGTTCTGAGTTCCATTTCGATATTGAAAGACAATCGTGTTCATCCTTTTCTCTATGTCTAATTCATTTTCACCCTTCCCTCTGTTCCTTCTCAACCCTTTTTAAAAAATATTTTAGTTGTAGATGGACACAATACCTTTATTTTATTCATTTATTTTAATGTGGTGCCAAGGATCAAACCCAGGGCCTTACATATGCCAGGCAAGTGCTCTACCACTAAGCTACAACCTCAGCCCCCCACCCCTTTTTAAACTGTCCAGATCTGTGGAACAAATGTTGAGCAAACTGGAAATAAATAAACTCCAGTGGCTTTAAGATACCACAAAGCCCTCCCTTCCTGTGTACTAATGGCTCCCTGCCCATTATACTCTCCAGAGTAGAGTATAGCCTGAAAACTGAACACGTTCAAAACAGAGAAAAACTTAGGAAGTCTGGAAAGATTGAGGCACACTTGTATAACTTTCCCTCCCCTACTTAAATTCATGTAGTATAAACTGATGGACTCCATTAGGGAAAAGAATTACTAAGTAAAAAGCCAGTCACTGAAAGCAGATATATTAAGAACTGTTCCTGATTCAAAGAAATCACAAAATCCTAGGCCTTTTAAAGCAGGAAAGAAAACATTCCAACACATAGAGGGCTCCTTCCAAATACCTGATACTTATGTTGATCCAAGTATTAATTAGTTAAAAAAAAAAAAAAACTACCAATGCTCGCCATTTTATAGACGAGGAAACTAAACCCAAAGAGGGATTAAGAATTGTTTTGAATCACATGGTTTTTCAGCTGTAAAGTTTAAGACTGGGTTCTATATCTTCTGGAGACTGTCAGGGGAAAAGATGGTGTTTTCTTGAATAATCTTTCTCTCAGCTCTGAATATTCTAAATACTTACTATGCCCTTGTACTTGAATGTTTTCCTAATAGCTCAAGCTCATCAGGCACAAAATCAAACTCATGGTGTTCCCCTTGTTTTCCTGACATCCAGGAATTAAACCAAATTCTGTTAGATTCCCCTCCAGCCCTTTGGTGGTACTGAGAATTGAACCCAGGGCCTTGCATATGATGGGCAAGCACTCTAACACTGAGTTACATCACCAGTCCTGAACCAGAGTCTGCTTGGCTTTTTATTCACTTTAACCCCTAAGTATTTTAACAAGTCCAGTCAATTTTCTTCTAAAAAATACCTCTAGATTTTACTCTACTGACAAGACAGCTCAACTTGTACCTCCTAAAGAAAACCCTTCTTGACTACTTTGCCCATACTGTTGCCTCTTTTTTTGGCTTTATATACCACTTCTAGCATACATCACACAATTCAGTTCAACGCTATCCAGGGGCAATTAGCAGCATTCCTTCACCCAAACAAGTATCTTCTGAGTGTCTACTATTTGCCAGGCCCTGAGATGGAGAAATCATTTTTCTTGTCTTCCCAACTAGATATTAAATACCCTGATAGTTGAGGCCACATCTTTATTCACAGCCTCTTAAATATCCAGTCTAGGCAATATTGAAGACTTATTAATTCAAGAGCAGTACAAACCCAAGCAAGAAATCTGTCACCAGCTCAGCAGCTGAAGAACTCTGGGGATACTTTAATCTGTGGTTATACCTCAACATCTCAAAAGCTTCATGAGTATGATCCACTGAATCAACAAAGACAGCATATTAAAATGTGGGGTTTTAACACTATACCTTCAGGGCTAAGTGAGAAGATTTAATAACTAATCTGAAATGTGAAATCCTAAAAGTTAACTAGATTCTGCTTCCAGGAAGATGGAATAGATATGTTTTTCCCTATTTCTCTCATTAAGTACAACTCAAAACCCTGGACATTATATATAAAACAAATACAATGCACACTGCATGCATCTATACAAATGTCACCCTGTACCCCCTTAGATACATATAATTACTAAATGTTGATTTAAAAAAAAAAAAGAGAGAGAGAGAAGACGACTAGCCAAGGATCTCAGGACCCAAATAATGACATAGTAGTGCGTTTCTTGGGCTTTCTTTTTGATTTATATACCCCAGACTGACTTCTGGGGAAACCAGAATTTTAAAAATCACTAATAGGAGAATATTTTTAAAGGCCCAACAAATGCTTACTCATTCTAAACAAAGAACAAAGACAGGGACAACCTAGAAAAGAAAAATTTTAGACAAATACTACCACATAAAAATTTGTGCTGCCCCTAGGCGTGGTAGCAACAGCTGACTAAGGAACCTCAACTTGTGTCCAAATCAGTCAGTAACAAGTTAACACCTCTCCTTTTTTAATTTCTAGAGCATGTAAAAAAAATCATCTAAAACAGGAGATTTAAATAAAATCCAGGGTCTCATAATATAATTTCCAAAATGGTCAATATTCAGTTGAAAATCATTCATCATACCAAGAACCAGGAAGACACCAAGCTGAATGAAAAGGACAGACAATATATGCTAACACTAACATGACTAGATGTTAGGATTATCTGACAAAAATTTTGAAACAGCTATCATAAAAATCCTTCAATGAGCATTTACACGCATTTGAAACCAATCAAAAGAACAATCTCAGCAAAGAAAAGTCTCAGCAAAGAAAAAGATATAAAAACACATAAAGAACCAAATAAAAGTTTTAGAGGGTTGGGGTTGTGGCTCAGAGGTGTAGCACTCGCCTAGCATGTGTGAGGCACTAGGTTCAGTCCTCAGCACCACATAACATAAAACAAAGTTATTGTGTCTACCTACAAATAAAAAATAAATATTTTTTTTAAAAGTTTTAGAACTGAAAAACACAATGACAAAAATTAAATCTCAGTGGAATGACTGATTCAGCATAAGAATGGGGAGGACAAAGGAAAAAAAAAATCAGTGAACTTGAACATATAGCAATAGATGGTAACACATAGAGAAAACAGACTGAAAAAATTAACAGAAATTCAGGGAGCTGTGACTCTGTTACAAAAGATGTAACATTCATGTCATTGGAGTCCAGAATGACAGGAGAGAGTGGAGCTGAAAATTATTTGAAGAAATAATGCTGATATTTTTCCAAATTTGGCAAAAGATATAAATCTATTGATTCAAAAAAACTTAGAAGCCCAAAGAAGTCCACACTAAGACACATCATAGTCAAACTTCTAAAAACTAAAGAAAGAAAAAAATCTTAAAGGAAGACAGAGGGAAAAAGATACTACTAACAGGGAAACAATGATTTGAATGACATTAGATTTCTCATCAGAAATCACATAGGCCAGAAGGAATTGGCACATTTTTCAAATACTGGAAGAAAATAATTGAAACCCATATACCACAAATATATCCTTCAGGAGTGAAAGGGAAATCAAGACATTCTCATATGAAGGAACATTAAGAAAATCTGTATCAGACCTACACTAAAATATAGCTAAAGGAAGTTCTCTAAATAGAACAGAAATTATAAAAGAATAAATCTTGAAACAT